GAAATCAGCAAGTGATTCTTCGGATAGATCGACTGCTTTTTCTCTTTCTTCAAGAGGATAAATTTCTAATTTGGTGGGCTCATTAGTTTCTCCAGGCTCATTTCCTAATTTTTCAAAGTCAAATGTTTGAATCTGCTCGCAGAAATCATCATATGATTTGTCAGACGACACTAGATCAGTAGGTTTTGTTTCTTCATTTTGATGAATGTCCATCTCATTAGGCTCATCATCATTGAACTGTACTTTTGACTGCTCTCTGCCCTTATAATGGATGCTACAAACTCCGGTCTTCTCAAAGGATTGAAGTTATCTCAGGCTGGGCCTTCTATATCTCATCTTCTATTGGCAGATGACTCCATCTTTTTCTGTAGAACAAGTGTTGATCAAGTTGGAGTTCATATGGATCTGTTGAACATATATAAATAATTCACTGGACAGACAGTAAACTTGCTTAAGTAGCAATCTTCTTCAGTAGAAATACTCCTGCCAATCTTCAAGAGAATATTTGTCCAGCCCTTCAAGGCAATCAAACTCATAGATTTAGGGCTGCCCCTTGTCATAGGAAAGTTTAAGAAAGAGGTTTTTGCATATCTTGTGGAGTCCACTAAAAGCAAGCTTCAAAATTGGAAGTCCAAACTACTGTCTGCAGCTGGCAAGGCATTGCTCCATAAATCTGTTTTGCAGGCATTACCAATTTTCACAATGTCCTGCTTTAAGCTACTTGTATCCATCTGTTCTGCACTGGCCAGCCTATGTGCTCAATTTTGGTGGAAATCAAATTCAGAAGATACTAAAGGTATTCACTGGAAAAGATGGACAAAGATCACAATTCCTAAACATGATGGAGGTTTGGGCTTTTTGGATATTAAATTGTCCAATGAAGCTCTTATTTGTAAACAGTTTTGGAGGATCACATCTCAACCAGATCTGCTTGTGAGTAGAGTTCTGAAGGGGAGGTACTATCCTAACTCCTCTACTTTTCATGCCTCTAAATCTCAGAATGGATCTTGGCTTTGGAACTGTTGGTTAGATGCTCTTCCCCTTTTCTCCAAATGGCTGAAGATTGAGATCAGAGATGGGGCCACTACTAGAATTGATGATTTCAATTGGGTTCCTAATCTTTCTAAGGCTAACCTGATCTTCTTAAGATTGCTAGGGAACATCTTATTTTGGTGCAGGACTTATTGCTCCCTTCTGGTGTTGGCTGGAATGAATGGCTTGTTCAACAGGTGTTTAATGCTGAGGATAGTGCTGCTATCTTGAATATTAAAACTGAGTCCTAGTAGACCTGATAGGATATTTTGGGGACTAGCAAAGAAAGGGCAATTCTCTGTGGCATCTACCTATTGCTTTTTGGTCCAACAGAAGCTACTTCATCTTGACATCCCAGAATGTAGCAACAGATCAAATCCATGGAAAATGACTCTTAGAAGAAGTTGGTCTTTAAAGGTGCAGATGAAACTCAAGACTTTCCTGTGAAAATGCCTTACAGGCTCCTTACATGTGTTAACAAATCTTAGAAAAAGAGGTATGGACATTGATGTAATTTGCAGAAGTTGTGGAGAATGCCCTGAAAGAGCATGTCTTACTTAGCTGTCCCAGAGCTTGCAGAACCTGGGAATTGGCACCAGTTACCTGGCATGGCATAACACAATATTCTGGCTCCTTCAGAACCTGGTGGCAATTTGTTTGCTCAACAGCTCACTCTGAGATTGATGAACACAGAATCCAGTTGTCAACCTATCTCATATGGTGGCTCTGGAAGACCATAAACCAGTGGGTTTTTCAAGGCACTCTTCCCCCACCACACATTGTGGTCAAGGCAGCTCATTCTGATTGGATGGAGTTTGCCTCAATTTTTCTGATTATGATTCATAGTTTGTTTTCTTCTCTATTGTCTTAGCTTGTTTTCTGTTAGTTTTGTTGTTTGGGGAAGTGATTTACTAGGCTTTGAGGCAGTGGTGATTTCTTGCCCTTCTTTTTGTTTTCTCTTGTGTTGTTGGCTTGTTGAGGCTCTAAGTCATCTTGTTAGATGCACCTCTCATGTTGTTTTTATCAGTTGGAACTTGGTTGTATTCGAG